CTTATCGTATCTCCAGAACCTCTGAAACAATGCTGAATAAATAATGGTAATAATAAATATCCTTTTTGTACCTAATTTTAATGGAAATGGCTTTAGCACTTTACCATTTGTTATGAAGTTTGATGTTGGTTAATAATAAATATTCCTTATTTTATTTAAATAGCTTAATTTTATCCTAGTTTTTCTTAAAGTGTTTATTAGGACTAACTACTGGATTATATCAAACTTTTTTTCTACTTACATGTAATATTTTAATGGCAGTCTTAGCCAAAAATACATAAGAATTAGTAAGAAAAAAGTCAAACTGTCTTTAATTGTAGATAATATGGTTATGTAGAAGTTCCTAAGAATCTTTTTTTAATTGTATTTTAGGTGAAAGTTTACAGTGCTAATTAGTTTCTCACTCAAAAATTTATACACAAACTCTTTTCAGACATTGGTTGCAATCCCCACAATGTGTCAGCATGCTCCCCCTTTCCCTTTACACCCTGGGTCCCTCGTGTCCGTTTGTCGAGGTTTCCTGACCCTTCCTGCCTTGTCTTTTCTCATGGGCCAGCGTTGCCCATTTGGTCTCCTATGCTTGATTGAACTAAGAAGCACATTTCTCATGTGTGTGTTGTTTGCTTTATAGGCCTGTCTAATCTTTGGCTGAAAGGGGTGGACTTCAGTTGCTTTAGGTTTGAGTTAGCAGGGTGTCTGGGGGTAATAGTCACAGGGGTCCCTCCAGTCTCTATCAGACAAGTAAGTCTGGTCTTTTTTTGGTGAATTTGAATTTTGTTCTACATTTTTCTCCTGCTCTGTCTGGGACCCTCTATTGTGATCCCTGTCAGAGCAGACTGTGGTGGTAGCCGGGCACCATCTAATTCTTCTGGTCGCAGGCTGGTGGAGGCTGTGGCTCATGTGGTCAGTTAGTCTTTTGGACTGATATTTTCCTTGTGTATTTGGTTTTCTTCATCTTCCTTTGCGCCTAACATGATGGGACAAACAGATGTATTTTAGATGGTTGCTCGCAAGCTTTTAAAACCCCGGACACTACTCAAATGTTTTTTAAGTACTGAAAGTATCATATAGCTTTTCTCTATTAATCTGTTGATATAACAAATTATGTTGATTAACTTGCTGATATAGATCCATTCTTGCATTCCTGGGATAAATCCTACTTGTTAATTTGTTATTGTTGTTAGTTGCCATCAATTCTGACTGATGGTGACCCCATCCATGTGTGCAGAGTAGAACTGTTTCATAGGTTGTGACTTTTTGGAAGCAGATCATCAACCAGACTTGTTTCCCCAGGTGCCTCTGGGTGGGTTTAAACCGCCAACCTTTTGGCTAGTAGTAGAGTGCTTAACCATTTGCGCCACCCAGGAACTCCTGCATATTTTTGATACATAGCTGAATTCTATTTGTTAATATTTTGTTTAGGCATTTTGTATCTTCTAAGTATATGTGAGATTAGCCTATACTTTCCTAATATTAAATTAAGCTTTACTATTTAAATTATTATGACTTCATATATGAATTTAGGTGCTGTTTATCTTTTTCTTTTGCTTGTAATAACTAATATTATATACTATTTAAGGGCAATGGTTAAGCACTCGGCTGCTAACCGAAAGGTTGGCAGTTTGAACCCATCCAGTCACTGAAAGACCTGGTGATCTGCTTCCATAAAGATTACAGCCAAGAAATCCTATGGGGGAGTTCTACTCTGTCACATGGGGTCAATGTGAGTCAGAAATCAACTCATGACAATAACAACAACAAAGTTTAATAAATCTCATCCATGAAACCATCTGATCCTGTTTTTGGATGGCCAATCTTTAATTAGTTTTCTAATTTCTCCTGAGATGACTGGTTGATTTAGTTTTCTACTTTTTTTTTTTTTTTGAGTCAATTTTGGCAATTTGTATTTTTCTAGGAAATTCTCCATTTCCTCCAGATTTTCAAAAGTGTTCCCATAGAATTATATGTAATATTCTTCTCATCTCTTCCAGTATGTTTATGTCTCCTTTTCAATACTAATCTTGTAAATTTTTTTGCTTTCTCTATTATCCTTAAAAAAAAATTTTAGGCACTTATCTTTCTCATTTATCTTTCCAAAGGATTCTTTTTTGTCTTTTCTTCCCTCATTTCTTAAGGTGTTAAGTTCCCTTAGTTTGTTTTAAATTGAGATATAATTCATATACCATAAAATTCATCCTTTTAAAGTATACAATTCAGTGGTTTTTAGTATATTCACAAATTTGTGCAATTACTAATTGCCTTAGCTTTTATGTTTCTTCTTTAGAAACAAATAAAATAATACATTTTCCTTTGACTACATTTTTAGTTTTGCCTTGAAGGTTTTAGAATGGAGTCTTGGAAACCCTGGTGCCATAGTGGTTAAGAGCTAAGGCTTACTGTATGTAATTTATACCTCAAGTTGACTTTTAAAAATTTTTAAAAATTCCACCACTATTGCCATTTGGAGCCATGGTGGCACAGTGGTTAAGAGCTTGGCTGCTAACCAGAAGATCGGCAGTTCGAATCCACCAGGCGCCCCTTAGGAACCCTATGGGGCAGTTCTATTCTGTCCTATAGGGTCGCTATAAGTCGGAATTGACTCGATGGTAACAGGTGTGGTTTATTTTGTTTGTTTTGTTTTCTGGTTTCTTCCTTTCATGTTTTCTAGCTACTTTGTCATGTGCTTTGAATTCTTCTTTGATCTAAGGATTATCTGTATATCTTCTTACAGTCTCCAAATTCTTTAAAATGATGTGCTACTTTTATAACATGGGCAATATAACAATTTAAAAAGTTACATTTCAATTTTTATCCACCTAGAATTTATTTTCAAGAAAGGAATGCAGTAGGTATCTACACCTCCCCCCACGTTCCAACAGCAGGTAGTTGTTCCAACAGTTCTTATTAAATGGTCCCTACTTTCCCATGACTTTTACCACATTTGTTATAAACTAAATTTCCTTATGTGTTTGGGTTTATTTCTGGGCTCTATTCTGTTCCACTGATGTCTCTACATTTCTTTTCCAGTACCAATAAGAAAAGCTTGGTAGCTTTAAAATATGTTTCAATTCCTGGCAGTTACTCTCCTTTCATTTCTTTTCTTTTTTTAAATACTCTTCTTGGTTATTCTCATGTTTATTTTTCCATAAGGACTTTAGTAACTTTTATTATGTTCTGAAAAAAAAATCTACTGGTATTTTAACTGTGATTGAGTTATATTTGCAGATTATTTTAAAGAACTGACATCTCTATAATACTGAGTGATGCTATCTAAGGGGAAAGTACATATTTCCATTTGCTTAAGTAATTTTATGTGCTTTCATCAAGTTTGAGATTTTTCTGCATAGAGGTCCTGCCTATTTTTTAAGTTTAAACCTAGCCACCTTATTTTTGTTGTTATTGTAAATTAAAATTGTTTATTCAATTATATATTCAAACTGATAATTTGGATATAGTAAAGCTATTAATTTTTACCTTATTGAATTTTCTTATTGTTTCTAATGGTTTTTCAGTTGATCTTCTTGGGGTTTCAGAAAAACAAACATGTCATCAGCAAATAATAATAGTTTTGCCTTGTCCTTTCCAATGTTTTATATTTTATTTCTTTTGTCTAATTGCATTGGCTAATACGTCCAGAATAACATTAAATAAATATAGTTGATACTGGGCATTTTGGCTGCTTCTAATGTCGCACCATTAAACATAGTAAAATTACAAAAGTGATACATGCTCACTTAGCTAGTTTAGTATGTAACGTTGTAGAGGCTTTTTCTTTTGTTTTTAATGCTTGGCACAGAAATGACAATAAATGTTTGTTGACTTTCAGTGACAGACACATAAGTAGTATATAGAATAACGTTAAATGGAAAGAAAAGATACTAATGAACATTTATTGAGCATCTCCTATGTTCAGGGCACTGGCCTAAACGCTGATTTCGACAGCATACTATGCAATGGTGGAAAGACACTGCAGTGGAAGTGTGAAGACCCAGGTTCTAATCCCATCTCTGTCACTGTTTTGATGACCTTGGGAGATTCTTAACAAACAGTTTCCACTTACCCAGAAGGAGAGATAACTTGAGTGAAGAGGAGGCAGTCTTAGAATCCATCTGAGGAAAGGGTTCGGGTCATGTCTTGCCCTCCCTCCCTATACTGCTGTTGTTAGTTGCCCTTGAGTTGATTCCATGGGTACACAGTGGATCTGCTCCACATGGTTTTCAAGGCTGTGACTTTTCGGACACAGATTGCCAGGCCTGTCTTCAGAGGTGCCTCTGGGTGGGTTCAAATCGCCAACCTTTAGGCTAGTCCAGCATTTAACCATTTGTGCCACCCAGTGTCCTTCCTCCTATACTAGGGGAAAGTTAATAGCTGATACTCATTAGATGTAGCAGAGAGAAAGACGGTGGAACTAAGATTTCTTTGAAAGAATAGATGTAGTGGCACTACCAGAAATAAACACAAACAATAACAACAAAAAAGCAGGCGTTGACATCCATTGCATCGCCTGTACGAAATACGTCAGCATCAGTTATACACTCTTATGATGAAAATGTAGATCCTGGGATCCCGAGGATTACAAATCCCAAATCCTCACACATACCCCAGTAAATGCCTTTTGGCCCCAAGCACTTCTGGAGTAACTACTTTTTATTCTCCACCTCTAAGTCCTGGACTGGTCACCTAGAACAGAGATATGGTATCTAGGCAGGCGATCTGACATTAGGACTTAGGCCTCCTTACTCTCTTTTGGGTACCTTCTGGGGTTGGAGGCCACACCAGGCACCTTCTTAAGGAGACAGACATCGGTAGAAGAGGAGGCAACGGAAAGGTCAAAAAGGTCGGGATAGTTTTCCTCCCGGAGCTGTCTAAGAGTAGACCCGGGCCTGCTCAGGGGCGGAGAGGAGGCTGGGCCCCAGGCTTTTGAGTGGCCGTCCTTCCAGCCAATCGGCACGTCGCCCCGCCGAGCTGAGATGCCGCCCCTACCAGCACGGTGTACTCACTTTTCCCACTTCGGCGTTGCCCATCGAGATGACTTTGATGCGGAGGGACTTGCCAAGCTCCTTCCGCTTCGGCATGTTGGCCTCCATTGCCCTTGCTCCCTCCGGGCCACCTGCCTCGATCTCTCCTTGTTCACCAAGCCGGCCCGTCCCTCAAGCCTCTTCATCCAATGGCGGAACCGCTGCTATCGTCACCGCCTCAGCGGCGCGGCTCGCCATCCCAGCCGCTGCCTGGCAGCAGGCCCGGGAGGTTGGGAGCGCAGGGAACTGCGGGGGAGGGAGAAGAGAGTCTCGCGATGCTAGAAAGGAGGGCGGCGTGATGTCATCGCTCTGGCCCAGGAGACGAGGTTCTGGTTACATGTTTCGTGGGGTCGCGCGAACGAGCCCTTCCGTGTCCATTGACAGGAAGGCGGCGTGCAGGGCTGGGTGGGTTTACTGTTGGACCCATGGAGAGCTCAGTGTGTGTTCAGGGTCGCCAGGACAGTAGGAATTTGTTGTATTCGACGCCGGGTGGTAGAAGTTTATTGGTTGTTAAGGGGAGATCCGCGAACTGGTAGTTTCTGGCCTTATGGATTAGTTCAAGGCCCTTCCACGCCAAAGTTTCGAAGTAGATTATGGCCCGTTTGGGAGTGCTTTCTCTGGATTCTTCGCTTTCACGGTCCTGTCTACTGACCTCCCTTCCTTCCAATATTAAATTTCCCTTGCTTGGGCTGCTTCAGAGGCAGGGTCAGAAGTCGGGCCCTAGAACTGAAGAGGGGCGTTAGGCAGGACCGGAAACGACCGAGACCCATTCCCATCATTAAAAATGAGTTGTGCACTTGGAACCAAAATAAGGCTTTTGGTTTACTCTTTGGTCTTCTCTTAAAATGATCTTGAAATTAGTTGACTCATGTATGGGAGGAAAGATCAGGTTAGATGTTTATTGGGTTCCTTCCCAGCTCTGTCGAGGTGTATAATTGTAGCTCCATTTTCCTCCTCTCCCTGCCACTTATATCCAAACTTAACACCATATCCTGTTCTCAACTTCCTTTTAGTTGGCAATATGACAGTAAAATAATGATGTATTCTAATATAACCAGTTTTTTAAATTCTCATTCCAGGAGATGAGAAAAGCAGCTACTTGAATAAAAATCAGCCTGACAGGAACAGTAATTTTTTGAGTCAGTATCTTCAGATATAGAAGATAAATAGAACTTGACAAATGATTATTTAGTGCCCTGAAAAAGAATGGCTGCCAATTTCCCAGGAAATTACAAGGCAAAGGTAGCATCGCTTCTGTTCTCACATGTAGTGCAGGGAGACAATAAAGACTCACAATTTCATAATAGTTATTGTAAGTCAGATATCCAAGCATTTTAATTTAAATTCTTTTATTTTAATATGAAATGCTTATTCTAGGTTGTTTTCTTAATCAACAAATAATATAGCTTTATTCGATAAAACCTCAAATTCTTTACAAATATGAAATAGAAGTCTTGGTTAGACTTTTGATAGGCTAAAGCTTAAAATAATTGGATTTAGTTTGATTCTTCACAAATCAAGATGTTTAAAGAGATCATTCTATGATTTAATAAATGAATAAACATCTGTTTCTTCAGCTATTAGAGACTGATTAGGTATGATATTGAGAATGAGAGCAATAAAACATGCTGGAGATTACCCTTTTTCATACTGATGTAAATAAAACATTCATATTGATATAAATAAAACATACTGGAGACTACCCTTTTTTCATATTGATGTTTTTGAGGTTTGAATATGTGTAGTCATATTGTCTGCTGCTTGTGTGTTAAACTAGTTTGGAATTGAGAAAGCTGGCAAGTTAGCTTTCTTTTCTAGTCTTTGAATATTAAAAGAAAAAAGAATGACTTAGCTGTATATAGTAAGGAGTTGGAAGGTATGGCAGGGAGGTTAGGATCATGTGCTTTGGAGTCAGCCCAGTTATACTTCATGTTGGCATGACATAGGCATGTGGTGTGGTGAGGCTTTCAAGACATAATGCATATGAAGTACCTGGTAATCCCCCAATAAACAGTAGTGATATGCTTTAATTTACTCATGTTTTTAATTTTTATCTATTAAGAAAGAATCTAAATATTTTAAATGTGTATTTTAAAAGATAAGTTATGGAATAATTTGTATATACTTACTAAAGGTATAAAGAATAATATGATATCTATGTATCCACAACCCAGCTTAAGAAATAAAGCATCACCAATACTTTATTTATGTATATCCTTCCCCGATACATCCCCTTCCCTCTCTATAAAAGGTTGTAACTGTCTGAATTGGGGCTTTTAATTTCCAGACATTTAAAAATTATTTTACTACGTGTGCATATACACCTGAAAATACAGTCTTGTATTGCATCTTTTTAAACTCTTTATTTTGAAATAATTTCACACAGAAAAGTTTCAAGAATAGTATGAAAAACTCTTGTCTGTCCTTTATTCAGGTTCATCACTTGTTAACATTTTGCCTCATTTACTATGTCAATTGTGCTTGCTCACTTGATCACTTTCTATCTATATATACATATGTATACACCATACATATTTTTTCCAAACCATTTGAAGACATTATGTTTCTTTATCCATAAATACTTCAATGTCTATTTCCCAAGAACAAGGACTTTCTCTTACATAACAACAGTATATTTATCAAAATCAGGAAAAATAACGTTGATATAACACTATTATCTAATCCTGTGGTTGGTTCTTAAACTGCACTAAGGCGCCCCACAGCCACCCAGGGAATTCACATGGGGGATATCAGTGGAATATTTTATATTTTCGAGGCAAGCAAGGAAATCTAATGGGCGCTACCCAAGACTACTCTCGAAATTTACAGTTGTTTACAGTTTCAACAATAGATGGCGCCATATTCCTTTCAAAATGTCATATCCTTAGGAAGCTGAGTTTTCCTGGGCTATGATAGGGCTATGATAAAAAGCAAGTACAGTGCAAAAATCAACGTGGAACATGAAATGAGGGTGGCAGTGTCCAATCTAATTCCAAGGTTTGCAGAGCCCAAGAAGTGCATACATCCCATTAATAAGTAATTGTTAAGAATGAAATAAATACTTCTTTTGCCAATTTACCTGTATTTTTTTTTTTCAAATGGCTAAGTTTTTAGAACATAATAAGTTATTTGGACATAGATATTTCTTTTGGCCAAGGTACACCATGAAAAATTTAATGAGACACTATAAGTGTCTTGAATCAAGGAAATTTGGGAAACTTTAATCTACAGTTCATACTCAAATTTCATCACTTGTTCCAATAATATCCTTTGTAGCTGTGTTCCCCCCACCCCAGTCTGGGGTCTAATCAAGGATCATTTAGTTATCATCTATCTTTGTTGTTTTTGTTAGGTGCCTTTGAGTAGATTCCAACTCATAGCGACCTCATATATAACAGAACGAGACGTTGTCCAGTCCTGTGTCATCCTCACAAGCATTGCTATATTTAAGCCCATTGTTGCAGCCATTGTGCCAGTCCATCCTATTGACTTCCCCTTTTTCGCTGACCCTCTCCCAAGCATGATATCCTTCTCCAGGAACTGGTGCCCCCTGATAACATGTCCAAAGTACGTCAGATGAAGTCTCACCATCCTCACTTCTAAGGAGCATTCTGGCTGTACTTCTTCCAAGACAGTTTTTTCCTTCTGGCAGTCCGTGGTATATTCAATGTTCTTTGCCAGCGCAACAATTGAAATGAGTCAATTCTTTGGTCTTCCTTTTTCATTGCCCAGCTTTCCCATGCATATGAGTTGATTGAAAATACCATGGCTTGGGTCAGGCATACCTTAGTCCTCTAAGTAACATGTTTGCTTTTTAGCACTTTAAACAGGTCTTTTGCAGTAGATTTTCCCAGTGCAATATGTCCTTTGATTTCTTGACTGCTGCTTTCATGGGCATTGATTGTTGATCCAAGAAGAATAAAATCCCTGACAACTTTGATTTCTTTGTCATTTATCATGATGTTTATTGGTTGTTCATATAGTTATAAGGATTTTCTTTTTCTTTTATGTTGCAGTGTAATCCATACTGATTGGTTTCCATCAGTAAGTGCTTCAGGTTGTCTTCACTTTCATCAAGCAAGATGGTGTCATCTGCATATTGCAAATTGTTAATGAGTCTTCCCCCAATCCTGATGCCATGTTCTTCATATAGTCCAGCTTCTCTAACTATTTGCTCAGCCTACAGATTGGGTAAGTATGGCAAAAGGATACAACCCTGGTGCACACATTTTCTGATTTTAAACCACACAGTACCACCTTGTTCTGTTTGAACAGTGGCCACTTGGACTATGTACAGGTTCTGCATGAGCACAATTAAGTGCTCTGGAATTCCTGTTCTTCACAATGTTATCCATAATATCCTTTCCTTGTTTTTCAAAATGACAGTTATTTATAGAATATTCCTCAATTTGGGTTTGTCTAGGGTATTCTTGTGTGATCAGGTTCAGTTATAATTGGCTGGAATACCATAGAAATGATTTACATCCTTTCCAGGGCATTATAGCAGGAGATTCGTGATGTCAGTTTGTTCCATTTGTTGGTGGTTAACTTTCATTAGTTGGTGAAGATGGTGTTCGCTAGGTTAATCTGAAGTAAAATGACTTTTTTCCTTTGTAATAAGTAATTTATAAGTGAATACTTCGAGATTATATCAATATCCTGTTCCTCATTGAAATTTCACCCACAAATTTTTAGAATCCACTGATGATTCTTGGCTGAATAGATTATCACTATGATGGATGCAAAATGGTCATTTTCTAACTTCGTCATTCCTCCTACATTTATTAATTGGTATTCTGCCAAAGAGAGGACTTTCCTTTCTCATTCATTCCTTCATTCATTTATATTAGTATAGACTCATATATACTTATTTTACAGACTAATATTCTGTTACTATTATTTATTTTGATGCTCAAGCTGGCTCATATGTCCTTTTGACATACCTCTACCATTTTTGAGCACTTCTTTACTTTCTGGCACAACAAAGAGCCCAGGTTCTCTGCATCCTTTTAATGGAGAATGATATTTAAAAAACCAAGATCTGGGTGCTAGGTGTGCTCATTTATACTGAAGTATCTTTACTTAGTCCCTTTCAGCTGACTGAGCCAAAACATACTTACATGCACCAAATCCATATATTAAACATTAGTTCAGTTAGTCCTCAATCCAGTCATTTCAACACAATAAGATTCATTTTAGTCTTCTATACTTGTAACTCCCTTCTTCAACATTGAAAACTGTGGCTCCCACTATCCTCAACGTACAGTGAAACCTGTGAGAGTCAGAACTCTATGTGACTGTTTTTTGTTTTTTTTTCCCGGCCTCACAAGTTTTTTGCCTTTTACAGGGTGCAGTCCTACCACTTTTCTATCACTCATTATAGTGAAAAATATTTGAGTTTTCCTTCTCTAACAGGTTTCCACCTTACACAGGTTCTGGCTTTCGTATGTTTTACTGCATATGCTGATTTGTTCAATCCTGTACTACATAGAAAGCAGTTTAGCATTGCTAACTGTACCTGTAAATATGACCCTGTTTGG